AAAGAGGGTAGTGGCCTCTAGGAATAAGCTTGGAGAGCCAATGACGCCGTATAGACAGAAGCAATGGGACCGTATTTGTGAGCAATTTATAGAAGATATCAGGAAATTAAACAAGAGAGTTGACAACTTCAATTTAGTTGTTCCTATTCTGAGCAGGCAAATGGTGCACTTTAATGCAGACAAAGAAATTGTACGAGCGGAAAAGACTTACGAAGCTTTGATGGAAAACAGAGAGGCTTCTAATGCAGACACAAAGGAAATTGAACAGGAAAATGTTAAAAGGTTTGGGTTGAAGTCTTCTTTATTTAAGTGGTTAAATCTTATGTTGAAATAAGATAATATTAATCCATCTGTCTTGTCACTATTTTGAATGCACTTTATTACTAAAATATGTAGCATTAGAATGAGAAATTTCAGGCATACTGAAAATATAAAATCCACCTGTCTGTTGTTAACAACAGTTAAAAGGAGTTGGGTTGTCGAATGTGAATTTGCAGGTGCTTAATGGATTTCTCTGTGCATACATTAAGGAGCAAATAAATTCTCTCAGTTACAGTCTTTCGGGTTATTTAGCTTTTATTTAGATCAAAATCAGTGCTTCACTTTTGTACCGTTGAGTATAACCACTTTTACAGTACTGTTATTCCTTCTTCTCATATTGGGAAACTGAGGCATAACCAAAACATGTTAAGGACAAAGTGGGAACAGAAGTCTTGCTGTGCCATTTGTTTGACAACTTCATCCCTTATTTAAATGCTCACAGCTGGTAAAAGGTTGCCAGGTTTCATGCATTTTTAAAAATTACACATACTAATCTCTTCAAGGCTAAATTAAAAGGGAGTGAAGGGAGGAAAGTCTGGATGTCGATTTGGACTGTGTAAATTCTACTCAAGTGTATTTTTGGATCTGACCTTTAACATGCACGCTGGTCTCAGAAAGCATTCTAGCAAATAAGGAAGACTGGCCAAAGCTGTAACCTAGTCACATGTTTTTTGAGGAGGTGAAAGAGGAAGGGAGGATATTAATTTTCAGAAGCGATTCACTGTACCATTTGAATATTTTATAGTATCGGTTTTAAAGAATATATGGTGAAATGTTGCTGTACTAATAAAGTTTCTGGGCATTGGCTTGGCAGAGGGAGGGTGAGAAAGTCTCCTTGGTGCCAAAGTTTTCTTTACCCTTATTAACCTGCCTGCTCCCCCAGCCAGTCTGATTTTGCTGGAGACCTTCACCTTTGAAAAGGTGTCGCTGCATGGACCCCCTTCATCACTCGTGCCTTGGAGTCAAACTGCCAGAGTCTCGCCTCTGTGGGAGTTGTGCGGTGCCCTGCCACTGGTGAAAAGGGGTCCCACAGGCACTGGTATGCCACTGAGGGGGAGTTCCCGCTGTCAGAGTTTCAGAAATAGAAGCTAGATGATAATCACAACCATCATCCTTTGGCAGGTGCTCCAGCAACATCGGAGCCTGAGTTAATGCATTTGTTTTCTGGGCAGATAACTCTGCATGTGCTCCTTTTTGTCTTTGTGCTCTTGGTCATTTAGAGTGTGAGGTCTTAATATGCAGACAGAAGATTATTTATATTTGTTACTGGAATTGATTAGATGAAGTATCATTTGCTACAGAGTATAAATATACTCGAGAAATCTAATGGAATATCTGTTTCTTGCTAAACACTGTATGGGTCTGTGAAGCCTTGTGATAGGCAAAAATGTAACTGACAAAATGCTTGCCTTGTGCGTTTCAGAAAGTAGGACTCATCTCAGCTTCCTTTAATGGGCCTTTTTGTAGGAATTAAGATGGCAAAAGAATGGCATTGCATGCAGATTGATCTGTTGCTAGTAGGTCATGCCAGTGAGATGCTTGGGCTTTGGCATGCCCTAATATTAGTTAAAAGGACCAGATCAGGGTTATTTAGTTCCTTTCTACTGAGGTTGAATGAGCAGGCAGTGGTTTGCTAGCAGTGCACGGGTCAGTTGGGCCAGCCTGTAATTAATGCACTCTTCACACTTCAGTAGCTCTCTACAGCTGCTTGCAGAGTTTGGGAAAATGATAAGAAATAAGGGATATCTTGCAGACAGAGAAGTTAAGTCTATGGTAGTGGTGAAGTGGGAGCAAAATGTGTGTGGTCTGAATCTGTATGAGAGTCTGCCATATGCGTAGCCCTGATCTAAACATTCAGAAAGAAAAATCAGGTTACATGGCAGTCCTCTCACGTTTCTGGGCACTCACTAATCTCTTGAAATTGGTATTTTTCCCTGTATGGTATGAATACGGTTTATTGAGATCACAGTGTTACACCAGGTAATATCAGAAAGCTGTGGTCTCACAAGCTGGTCACTTTTTTTAGTGGCTGTGTGTAAGAACGTCTGCTTATTTGAATTAGACTCATCTCTAGGTTCCTTCTTTTAGTGAAAACCTTAAATTAAGCATGCTTTTATGGAAGTCATTTGGCTTAGTAGTCTTTAAAAGATTAGGTTTTGAATCTAATAATGTCTTCAGGAATTGAATCTGAATTGCTGTTTCAAGTAATTCAGTGCAGATTTAAAGTGAGCCCCTTGCAAATTGAATTCATTGCACAAGACTAAATGGAAACTAGATGCCAATAAATCCAGCTTTGATGGAATCCATGTTTGGTCAGAATGGAAATAAGTTTCAGCAGCCTAAATATTTATGTGGCTATAATGGATGAGTCAGCATGCTGACTATGTTCCTTTTAAAACTACGTGGTTTTAAATGGAGCAGATGTGAGCTGACTCCCATCACTTTAAATCACCCTTACATGTTTTTGTGAAAAAATGACACAAAATCATTGTGCGCAAAAAAGTGGCACAAAATGGCGCGAAATCTAGTTCTTCAACAGTTACTATGACAGTGATGAAAATATAATTTGAATTTTTACTTGCCTCAGGTGTGTAGGGGAGTATGTTTTTGCGAGGTTGATCTAATTTGCTGTTGCTCTGAATCTACAAAATCTTAAAAGCAGTATATAGTCAGGACTTCTAGAACCTGTGATATCAAGTACTGCAGGTGAATTATAACAATTATAAAATTATAAAGAGAAGATGGCCTTCAGAAGTTATTTTTCTGTCTGACATTGGTTTCTTAATTTGGATTTGATAACAGTTCTCTATTGTTGACCTCCAGAGAAAATGATGAAATCACTGCTGAGTCCGAGTACAAATACGTTTGCTTATTCCCAAAACTCCCTATGTGTTGATGAAATTACCTTGGAAGGCTCACCAAGATGACATCTTAATATGAAGACAGAACATTATTTATATTTGTTGTTAGAATACTGTAATTGAGGTATCTTTTTTTTTTTTTTTCCAGAACGAGGAATCTATTTCTTCCCCAGCACTCTATGGATCTTTCAAGCACTGTTAGCAAGCTCTATGTTTGTATATGTTAGTGCTATACAACAAAAGCCAAAAACATACAGCTGTAGGCTGTCTGGCAGAAAATCTCAGGCAGACCTATAAACTGAGGATTTCCTACGTATGCTGTAAAGTTTGAGGCCTGATGAGTACCTGATTATTCTGGAGCAATAATGGATTTCAGATTGTGTACTGAGTTGCAGAGAACACTCTGAGAAGAAGGAATAAAAGGTAGGAGAAGCAAGAGCAGGGCATACTGTAAGGGGCGAAAAAAGGAAGTTTTTATTCTTAGTGGAAGAAGCTGCCAACACAGAGGGAGTAGGGTGCGTGTGATGTCTCCCTTGAAATTGCTTTCCTTGTGGTTGTGTTTTCCCAGGTGCAGGAACCACACATCTGGGAGATGCTTACCTCGCCAAAGCTGAGATAGTCTGATGCTGATGCGAGGACAGAAACATGCTCTCTGTGTGAGATAGTAAGGGCCCTGGAAAGAAGAGAGAATATTAGGGGGGAAGCAAATGGCATGCAGTGCTTCTGGATGTGAGTGAGAGATGATAGCAAAAGTATTAATAGGGATAGTTTTGTACACGCCCACTCTCTAAACTCTATCAAAAAAGCGTATGATGCTTTCCAATGAACAGTGAAGCAAAAGTCTTGCTAACATCAGGACCTTTTTCTTTATGCTGTGGTGCTGAGCCTGAGTAAGAAGCTACCATTTCTGTGGATCCTCTGTGCACTGGATAGTCTCTTCTCTGAACTGGAAAAAGTGAGAAAGGAGAAGCTTCTGCAAAGGAAAACCATGACTCAGTTCCTGACCTGGTAGAACTGGCTGACTGTGGGACTGTGTTAAGATGCAGGACGTGCTGAAATAATGGTTTCAGTAGATCCTATAGATTTATTAGACTTCCGAATGGGAATGGGGGATGATCTATCCAAGAATGTCATGGTCATAGAAAGAAGCTGGATGGTAAGCATGGTATAACACAACATGGTAAGTGTGTTTAACAAAAGGAAAAAAGGAGATGAGCTGAAATTCAATGGTTTTGAGTACAGCTTTCATGTTTGGGTGGGATTTCATAGGGTCCGAGCTGAACCGTCTTGTAATGAGAAACTGATTATTCTCTTGACGTTTTGTTTGCGTCTTTACAGGTACCCATCACAGTGCTTGTTTCTATGTTTAGTTCCCCGTATTCCTGTTCTTTGTTCTTGAGTAATATCCTTGAGTTGTCTTCTTCATTTTTTTTTATCCTGTTCCTCTCTTTCATTTCTACTTCTCCCTTTTCAGATTGAATCTGTACTTGCTCTTTTATCTGAGTGTGAGTTTTCAAGACGTGTCACTTTCCTAACTAACTTCAGTACTGAAATTAATTCAACAGTAATGTTTTGCCTTTGTACCTCCACAATTTTGACATTAATCTTTGTAATAGGCAACAGTGTATTTTAGGAGGAGATGGTTCTTCCTTAAGCTACCTTTGGTGCTGGCGTAGCCCCCTTTCCAGTGCTCTGGGAAGAAACAGACCAGAAAGCAAGAAAAGGAGAATTGAATCCTGCACACAGCAAGTATGGAGGGAATTAGCTGATGGAAAAAGTTTGGGGTGATACTGTCCATCAGTCTGTTTTGTGCACATTCACATGCTTGCGTGGCACACAAGCAGACGTCTTGCTGTTAACACATGCGTTGTGTAACACAAATGTGAAGAAATAGGCTGAGCCCTCCTAAGCCGGTTCAGGTGTGGGAAAAAGCGTAGTCCTTCTGAGAAGTGGGGTGAGTGCAGCAAGGTGGAGCTCCCTCCTGACTCAGTGCCGATGCTTCCTGTACCTCTGCTTGCTGATTGCATTCGGTAAACAAGAATATAATAAAGACCACAAGCATCAACAAGCTATTAGTATTAATTAGCCCATCAGATGATGCAGTTAGCACTGGCTCGTGGTGAATCCAGCTGGGAAATGTGATGCAATCAGAAAGAAGTAATTTGAATGCTGGAAAGGAAACCAGAATTGTGCGATGTTTTAAACTGGACAGGTACAAAAGCAGTTTATGGTAAAGTATATGCATTTAAATATGGGCGCTGTTTGAGAAGACAGAAAAATGTTAGTGTGCTGTATTTTAGTCATGGGTCAGTGTGAAGAAGCAAGGGATAGCGTGCATATAACAACATGGGTCGTGAGCATTTGGGGACATAGTTGTGAGTTGCTAACGTGGTACGTTGAGACGCGCTAGGGCTAGGTTTGGATACCGAGATCGCTGCTATTAGTAGTTTAAATGAAGTAAATAAATGCAGACCCTTACACTGGAAGACGGGGAGGGTAGTGGCGGGGGGCGGGGGGAG